ATGGATGCTCATTAATTATATCTAGTGACACAAGACAGAGTCTGGCTAATGTTATCCCCAATATATGTCCCCTCTATAAGAATGACTAACGTGTTCATTAAATTAACGATAAGATACTTAAATCCATAGTTAATTGGTGCAATTTAATCATCACACAATTACTTAGCAATAAACCGTTCGATTCAATTTAGATTTCGACAAATTTGAAAGTAATGGATACAAAAATAAATGTCATTTAAACGTAATTAACTTATCTAAGTATATAAATGAAAGAAATGGCAGATTGATTGGCGTCCGCGAGATATTACTATAATGAAACAGATAACGAAGAAGCCGAGAGAGAGAATAATCTTGGAGCGTCCCTATTTATATACATCGCGATTGTGCGGAAGCTGTGAATCACGTGTCGGAAGGTATCGAGGCTGCGCGATAGCATCGATAGGCGATCGGGTTTAATCAGCGATCGATTAACCGAGCCGTCGCGTCGCCACGAGAGACCCCCGGTGTATAATTCAGTCCGAGATCCGCGGGCGCGCGTGGAATTCTCGGCCGATTAAATGCGATAAATGATTAATTGTCGTCGCTCAACAGCCGCTTATCCCCGCCGGTTTGATCCATATTGCATGGATAATTTATGTCGTCGCTCACGCACATGTGTCCTCTCCCTCGTTCGCTCGCCTGGGCGAAGCGTGTCATCATTTTCTTATCCGCGCACGACGCTGATATTATTTCACGTGCTCGTAATCAGCTGACTGACTGAGATATATCCCAAACACGCGCGGCGCCGAAACGTCGTCGCGAGGGCTAAGTGTCACCCGGGCGAAGTTCTCCGGCGAAACGGGTCGAAATGCAAATATTTTAAGCCGCCTGGAAGTAACGCGACTCTTTTCTTCGAAAAGCAAACACCGCCGCTTTTTACAACCGGCCGGTTCGCGACAGGCCGAAAGGAGGCAACCGGACGATGCGGTGCTTTTTGCAGCCGCATAATTTTCCCATGCTGAATGTAAATTTAGAAGTACACCCCCGAGCTCCCCGCGGGTGAGGCTGAGGGTGTACTTCTGCACAAAACGTCGTCCACGCCACTGTTCGCGTGACTATGACCGCAGCAGTCCGGGCAGTCGAATTTATATCGCGGCTACGAAAACGTGACAACGACCTACGCGGACGCTGACGACTTCTCGAGAGGGTATCTCTCGAAGAAGAGGCCGAAGGAGGGAGGAAACAACGCGCGACGGAGCCTTAAATTCGCATTAAACATTCATCGGGGATAGACCTCGCTGACAACTCGAGATACTCGAGACGAAGATACGATCGAGCTAATGCGATACTGCGAAGACTGGCCTCGCCCGTTCGGCTTCCTTTTTTGCACGATTTTGTTAAATGGGTATATATATGTATAGTTCTATCGACACGGCGAAAAGAAACGACGACTCTCGCGAGATTGCCTTCGCGTCCCTTTTTTTGTTGCGTTGAACGACTTTCAAGTCAGATTTCGATCCAAGTCGATTTTTAGTCCTATTAATATCTGGGACCTATATATAAATGAATTTTTATTATATACAAGGATTATATACAAAAATTTAAGGTTTGGTATACAATTAAATTCAAAATTATAGAGATTTAAAACTTGTTGTGTAAAAAAATGTTTTAGGTATCCGTGATATTTTTCGAGAGTAATAATTGCAATAAATATTATATATCAATTAGAGACTGTGCTGTTAAATTATGTCGAAGAGATTGTTAAAAAATTGTAATTTCTCATCATTAATTTTTTCGCTAAAGCAAAATCACGCCCACTTTGATCCTGGTTTACGTCGAAATTTCGTTTTCGGCAATCGTGTGCACGAAACCTGCATCGGTGCCACCTAAACGAGATCCGGTCAACGTTCCTGATGAGCGCCCATCTCGATTCTCGCGGCATTCGAAACGCAGGTTGATGATTATTATTAAGTTACTGTCATGAGACTCTCGGAGAGTTTTATTGGACCCCATCAATGCCGTAATGATCAAGTCCGGGAACCGTTTGAAACAACGCGTAAATAGGCCGCGTGATATCGCGAATGGAAATTTACGCTAGGGGCTCGTGTAATAATTTACATATACGACGGGAGATCGCGTGGTGAGAGAGAAAGAGAGAGAGAGAGTGCTCCAGAGTCGAAGTTGCCGAGTGTAATAATGCAAAAACGCGACGACGACGAGGGCGGGAGCAAGGAGAGACGGCGCGAATATTACGGGAAACAAGAGCACGAAGGAAGTTAACGGAGCCCAAGTGAGAGAAGAGCCGTGTCTCAAATGGATAAACTCGTTGCACAGACCGTTTAGCCATCGCCCCGGGCTTTTTCTGATTGCTTCTCTGACCCTCTCTCGCGAGATATTATACGAAGCAATTGAATTTCTTATACCCCGCTACTTTCTTGTCCCTCTCCTCTTCTCTGTCTCTCTGCTCGCGAGCCGCTCGCGTCTTTCGCCACTTCTTTTTCCGGGATTTATCCAACCGAATCGGAATTTCGAGGGGAACGATCGAGGATCCTTCTCGCGATAATCATTATCCATCAACGGTTTTTAAAGTAATGTCAAAAAACTTCGACATGGGAAAGGGAGACAGAGAGAAAGAAATAGCAAACAATATATTTTATAAGAATGTGCGAAGGCAAAGATTCACAGTATAATGATTTTGATCTTTTTTTTTTTTTTACCCGCCCCAAGGATCACCGCGAAGCGTTTTTATAATGACATGTTGCTACAAAATATATTCCGACAATAACAAATATCGAAAAATGTATTGTATAAAGAAGGCTTGATGTCCTTGCTGGAAATCCTTCATCAATTTTAAAAAGAAATCTTATTTTTAACTCGTAAAAAAATTGCAACTATGTGTTTTTCTAATTTCAAGAATATGATATTTACGATGAGAGGAAACTCGGGAATAATCAATAAATTCCAATTTTAATAACAACGGCACAAACAAGAATGAAATTAACATTAGCGTGGTATTTTTCATTTTCTAATTAAATTCTTCCATTTAACCTAGTTCATTCGACTCTCCTTTCTCACGCACTCCCGTAGTAAAGGAATCGCCAATAGAGCGCGTAATTACGAGAAGAGATGCAAAGATAAATAGATTTCAAATTATAAACAAAGAATAAATATACATTCCCCGGAATATGTACACCGCGTTTCGATTCGCGTGCCAGTCGCAGCCGAATCGACCCGCAATATATATTTGAACATCAAAGGGTCTCGTCTCTCTCTCGTCGTTATTAAGACGACGCCACGCGCGAGTTCTCGAGAATCGACGTAGAAGAGGAGCGTGTTTCTCCATCTCGAAAAGTACGGACCGATAAATTACTCTTGGTGCCGCAGAGGAGTGTAAATACTCTCGTACTCGATTACCTTGAACTTAGAGAGAGAGAGATGAGAGAGGGCCAGGATACGGCGGACGTGACTTCTTGACGGTGACTACTTTTAGAGGCAGAATAAATAGGCCGTATCTCTCGCGCGCGAAGCAAAGCTCCCTCAAAAATAGTTCTCGACGATGAGCCTCTGTGTTTCTCTCGCTCGCGCTACCTTCCGTCATTCTACCCGTGATGATATCCCGAAGATCCTGCGAAGAGGCCAGCTAGCTAGCTTACCGGGTAACGCGCTCGTTAGCCTTCGAGGAAAGGGCTAATTAAAAAGCCGTAAGGGAAGTGACACATGTGTGCGCGTCCCTCGAAAATCCCCTCCGGGTCTTCGCGGAAGGCCGCCTCTTAATAATAGAATCAGCCATCTTCGTCGTAAGACGCCGTCCCCGTTGGTCGTTTCCCGGCAATTTTCCAGCCAACTCCGCGACTCTGCATCGGATCGTGTCGCGACGCGACACCTTTTCTTAATTACGGCGCATTCCTCGCCACGACGAACAATTAAGTCGATTTCCTGCCACGATGAAGAAGAAAGACGGGCGCGCGGACGTATTTTAGGCGGCTCCTAAATTTTCCCGGACCCTCCTCGCTCTTGCGCGATTAACAGCGCGTCGCGCTCGATTTGTCGGCGCTTCTTCAGCCGTGAGAACGAGAGCGAGAGGATGACGGTTATTTTTGTACATTCCTCGGCCGTAATGCGTCTCGGGGAGTGTCTAATGGTGACAGGAAGAGGGAGCACGTGGGGGCGTTTTGTAGCGATTGTACAAACGGGGTAAGCCGTGCCCTTTCTTGTCAAGGCAATCAAAACTGCAGTTAAACAAGTTTGCTGGCGGTAACAAAGCACGTGTAATAACCAACAGGTGTCCTCGCGAGAAATCCCCACACTCGACATCGTGTGATATATGTTCTCATTTTTTTTATACGTTAAGAGAAGATTTTTCGCTTATATTATTTCTCATTTCTACGTAAATTGGAAATTAATCGTACATACAAGAGAAAACATTTTTTCGACACACATTTATATTCGATAAAATGTAGTTTTTTATTTTTTAATATTTAGACTCCGGCAATGCGGTAAATTTAAAATTATCAAGTTGGTCCATTTAAAAAATATCTATGCTAAGTTAATTAATGAGTATCAAAGTTAATTAATGAGTTGAATTCTATTATCTGTTTACACTTCTCGTACTTAATTGGCGAACAATTTGAAATCTTCAACGTTAAAAAGTTTTGTGATTATCGATTTAAGCTTTCGAGAGAAAATATTAACTCTAACATTAATACTATACATAAACTCTTGCGAAACGTTCCTCAAGTTTAAACTAAACATTTTTTTATATAAGTCATCGTATAATGTGTGTCAAGTTGGAACTCATATAAAACTATAAATTTTTTCAATTCTGATAAATAATTACTAATAAGAAAAATGCCGTGCCATTTTCGTTGCTTTAAGTTCGTGGTTCGGAACTATTTGTTCAAACTATCAAGAACTCTGGAATGAAAAATAAAACAAGAACTCTCAATTATTGCAGCTTCACACACATTGCTCCCTATTACCGCTATATAGAAATGATGTAAAATAAACAATTTCTCACTTACCGATACCTGCAATAGCGGAGTTGTAGTATATGTACACAACACGTTGCGATCTGAAAACAAAATATTCAAATTATGTATACATGTATATACTATAGGGAAATGCTTATTAATGTACAATAATGATTATTTCAAAGTAATTAATGTGCGCAAATTTTTTTGATAAATTGAGTATGTTATAAATTATATATATTTATTTTGCATACCTTACAGCTGCCCTGACGTCGCCCGATGCCTTCCCGGGCCTCCTCCTCTCTTGGTAGCACTCGCGACACTCGCGAAAACACGAATAATTACGATCGCCCGACACTTTGCACGGCACTCCCGACGCGCGAAACTTTACACGGCACTCCCGACGCGACGCGTGAATCACACGCGTATTTCGCGTACGTAGCATGATGCGAAAACTATAATCGCGCGAAGCAACGATTACCCGTTCGATATCTCGAAATCTCGCGCACAGCTTATCAGCAATGCTTACCTGTAACAAATAAAATACATTATATATATTAGAGCAATTTAATTATTTCGCGCTATAGCATACATGAGAGAAATATGTAAGTTAGAATTAAAAATAGAGAAATATGTAAGTTAGAATTAAAAATAGATGTATCTACGAGTCGCAACATATTCCCGAAAATAGATTAGGTTATGCGTTGATCGTTGGCGAGAGATTTTGCATCGAATTTCTCGCGAAATATGCGTTTCCAACAACTCTCATTATATATGAACGTTGAAATTATAATATGCGATTGATAAATAATAGAATACAAAGATTGGAAACGATTATGCTTACTAATTAATCACAGCGAGATGCAGCTCGAACTATCTGGGTCGCGCGGCGTTTCGGTAATGACCGAAGCTATTCGCTATTCTACAAACAGCGGCAACTTCATTCTAATAGCGCGCGCGATTACTATACATGATTTAATATTTAACTAGTTAAAACCCGAGGAAGATTTGAAAAGATATAACTTTATTAGTATAATTTTCGAAAATCGACTGGCGTTTTATCTGGATATTTATAGAAATTCAGTTGTCTTTTTAATATTTATAATAACTTAATTAATATTTTTGCCTTTAAAAAGCAGAAGTCTTTTTGAAAGTTATGTAGAATTATAAATCTTTTTAATCCTGATAATTACTGATGAGTAAAATGCCGAAGAATTCTAAAACTATTGAAAATAAAACCAGAATTCTTAATTATTTATGAGTTTCCATGAAATGAGACGCCAGACACACATCATCGTGAACTTTATTGTTTTAACTGAACAATCTCTTCTCTTTCGTATTCCGTAGATAAAACAACAACGTGTTCATAATTCGATTTTTCACTGTTCACGTCCTCGAGTGTTTTGATAACACCATATGAATCATTTTAAAGAGACGGAGGAGAAGAAAGAAGAGAGAAGAGTGAGAAGAGTCGTTCTTACGAAGACGTCAAGTCTTTTGAGGGGTGGTTCGTGCCATGAGGCATCACTAGATGATGATCTATTCCGTCGCGATGACCGTGCACGTTCGCCGCGTGTCATCGTGATCGAGGACAGCCGTGAATGAAGAAAGTTCAGACGGAATATATGGCTTTCATCGGCGCTTAGATCCAACGGATGACAAATGGAAAACAGTGACGTGGCCGCAAGGCATGAAGCCGCTAATTGGATACGCGTCATTAATAAAATAAAGCCAAGTGCTTGTAGTAAGTCTAATACTCTGACGAAGAATGCTCGCGATGCTGTTAATCTTTTATACGTTTAAAAAATCGGGTCTCCGTAATACGGAAGTCGATGGAAACAGGACGAGAGATCTCTCGCTTCCTTAATTTCGACCGTAATAAAGAATTTATATATCCTTTTTACGAGGCAATAACATTATTTACTGCAAAAGAACGTTTACATTGACAATTTTCTTATCTAACTTTGTTGGCTAATCGTGTTACGCAACAAATATCGGTAATGTAAACGAGTTCTCAACAGCTAACAAGTGTTGACCAACTTTATTGCTCGACAGAATTCTGAATTCGGTTTAAAGCAAAATTCTTTGTTAACTAATTTTGTTGAGAAACGACGTAAACATGGGACACAACCAGCAGTTAGGAAATGAGACTCTGCATTCTCGCGCGTGTGCGTTGTTGAATGTGCGATAATGAGTTTGCACACTTTTTTTTGTAATAATGTTACTCTTAAACAGAAAAAAATTCTGAAAATTGTTTCGTTTTATTCGCGGAAACTTTGTAAAAAAGTATTAAACTTTTTATTAAATTGTACTGCGCTTCTCTTTATTTCTCTTTGCGCAGTTATCTTATAATTTTATTTTTAATAATTTTTTTATTAACATATATGTATATTCTTATTCAAATTTTTCAGAAGTATATAATGAGTTACAGCACAATTATAGTACAATTTTTATAATATAGACATAGAGAATAATACATACAATTGTTTAACTTTTCGATCAAAATTCATTCTCCTAGAAAACAGAGATTGAAAAGATGACAGTTTTATTTACTGAAATAACAATATATTTTTTAAATAATAAATTTTTTTTCACATTGATTGCATATTTTAAAAAAGTAATGAATTAGAGACAGAGAGAAATGAATCAACCCCTTGTGTTAATAATTGGGTACGGATGAATCTATTCTTTTATGATTGAGCATATATTTATCTCCATTATTACCGCGATAAAGCTCGACAAAACGGCAGTTGTTCATAAATATCGAAATATCGTGCCCACTGGTGGATAGCTGTCCATCCAGAACGCAACATCGCTTTTACCGCGTCGCCCGTACGCATAAATCGCTGCTGTGAACATTCGAAAGAGTACCCATCAAAGAGGAATGGCTCACAACCGCGTAAATTTTCGTTTGACTTAGCATTTAAAAATACACGAATAAATACGCATCGATTGGAATGGAGTCGATGAGTTTGATACTCGAAATTCATGGCACATATAGCAGAATCGATGAAGGGAAATCCACTGACAAATCACGTTTCCATATTTCACATACAAAATTAATTTTGCGTTTGCAGTTAAACAATTTACATATTGCACTGTAAAATTAAGTTTATTATAAAAAAGGTCTCTCTTTCTCTCACTCCCTTTTAATCTTTCGATAATTAATAACTACCGATTTCAGATAAGAGGATTGTAATATAACAAGATAAGATGTAAAAGAAACAGGTCGGTCTAAAAATGTTCAACAAAGAAATAAAAAATTTATAAATAAAATTATAAAAATATTTAGATTTTACTTACTGTTGGAAAATTCGTCAGAGCAATGAAAGATTTAATTCTATGTCAAGAAAAGCAGTTAAATGTAAAATGATCCGGTGACGTGTGGTTAATCTCTAGTACATTATATATATCATTTTATACGAATATTTAATATAGAGAGTATGAAAAAAAGGAAAAACGCACACAGACGCTTACAAGAAATTATTGCATGTATGTACGTTCGCAATCATGAATATGTTTTTGGCAATCTGTTGCCAAAAATATTCATCAAATAAATATAAAATAAAACATAAAAACACTCTTTTTCATAAAACCAGGAAACTTTCAATGTTTCCGTTTTCGTTCACCATTTTTGATAAAGTACGAGTTAATCGTAAATTTCAAATAGCAGCATATACTAACTGCAATATTTGTCTAACATTGTAATTGAAAGAAGATAATATATAGCACGGTACTTTATTTCAACAAATTATGGCAATATAAAATAATATTTTTATGCAATAACAGTTTTAAAAATTATTTGAGACAAGCCAAATTTTGTCATTGATAAAAAAGTGAAAGCAAGATGAATGCATTCAACTTCACGGAAATATGAGAAGTCTCGATATATCACTTCAGAGAAACGTGTATTTCATAATGATATGGTTATCTGAGAATATCAATTATTTTTTTTAACTCTGTCTCATGGAGAAGTTCATAAATTGATCTTTAACAGGTTTCTTCAATCCGGCACGATTATAGAACGAGTTGCTAGTTAGGGTGTTAATTAGTCATGCATCCCGAAAAATGCAAAGAGAGACACTTTATTAATCGGAAGAGCACGAAAACAATCATCATGCAAGTAGCAATTCACTTTTAATGATTTTGCTGGATGCATCAAACTTTAATAGATTACATGTTTCTTTCACATATTATCGCTTTTATTAAAGTCATCAATGCCAAATCATAAAATAATTACAGGGGTTAAAATATTGACGTACTAACTCAATAATAATTTTGTAGATTATAATTAAATATTATAATTTTTTTTTATAAAAAGTATTGTCAATATGTATTCTAAAAGTTTTGAATGTTTTACTTATCCGTGTAAAACATATGAACTGTCAACAGGAACAAAGTTAATTTCGGTAAAATTGACACTTGTAGTTTTGTCGAGTTTAGAATTAACGATAAATGCGCGGTAGAATTATTTCTCCGGAAAATATCGCTCGCGCGCGAAATACAGAATAGATGAAATTTATAATATGACCGGCTCGCCCTATCGTCGCACGGACCGTAGGAATCTCGCTCGTGCGTGTAAACGCGCCGTCAAATTTTCCCGAGATGCACATATCGCGTGTGTGTGTGTGTGTGTTGAAGGACATCGAGTTTCCATCGTCCGCGAGATGACAAGCACTGGCGCACGCGCACGAATTTTTCTCGCGACACGCAAAGTCGTCGTCTGGGAGATCGTGGTGGATATGCGTTTCGGTCATGCCTAATAAACGTTGGATTCGTCTCCCGTCGTATGTTGTCGACATTCCAGACGTCGAGGTCGAATCCGCTGGTCTTTCCTCTCCTCGGTGGAGATCGTAACGGTTCTAGACGCGGCGAAAAATGAGACGACAAACAACGACGATTAAGGGGAAGAATACGAAGACGACGCAGGATGTGCGGCAATGAAGCGAGGAACCGGCGCATAAGGACGAACGGGATGGCGGAGGAGGAAGAGGATCGCCGACAAAAATTGTCTGAAGTCCTCCGACATACATATATAGTATAGGATAGAGAGAGAGGCTGATGTGTCGGTCATTTAGGGTGTGAAAGAAAAGATAAGGCCTGCCTGGTTCTCGTTCGGGGTCGTAAATTTTTACGACCAGTATACTCGCTGTTTCACGAGATTCTGGCCCCCTTCTTCTCAGACACGGTCGTCGTCCCGTTCTCAGACCGAAAAATCGAACGGCATCTTCACGACGATATCGCGCGCCGGCTGTGTTCCGTCGCGCTGTGTCGCGACGACGCAATTAACTCTCGTTTATTACACTAACAACAGGCCTAGTTTTATAATTCAGCGAGCGCGGGAACGTTGATTACGTAAAACGGAAAGGAGAAATTATGACCGCTTTTACGGTGCGCGATCGCGAGACGTAATATGGAATATACGATAAAAAGATTGCCGCTTTATATTTATTCCGTTTATAGTCCCTTGGAAATTATGATTTTCCGGAAGCAAGAAATAGAGAGAGAGAGAGAAGGGGCGAAAAAAAG